ACAGAGAGAGGGTCTTCCATCTGTTGGTTCACTCCCCAAAAGGGTACGACAGCCAGAGCTGAGCTGATCTGAAGCCAGGAGCCAGGAGCTTCTTTCAGGTCTCCTACATGGGTACAGGGGCCCAAGGACTTGGGCCATCTTCCACTGCTTTCCCAGGCCACAGGAGAGAGCTGGATTGGAAGAGAAGCAGCCAGGACTTGAACTGGTGCCCATATGGTATGGCAGTGCTGCAGGTGGAGGCTTAGCCCACTACGCCACAGCGCTGGTCCCTCATCCATTGCCAGCTGACGTCAGTACATCTTGTTACTCCCCAGGGAAATGCCAGTGCTGGTTAACCACTTGCACCTGGTCCACCACAGCCTCTCCTCTGCCCAGCGCCTCAGGGTGGGGGTGGGGAGGACTTTGCAAAGTACAGACCGGATCCTGCCCTCCCCCTGCTTGCGGTTGCTGGGGAGCCCCAAGGAATGAATTCCAGACCCCTTGCCTTGAGGCCATCGCTCTGTGCCTTGGCTCCCTGCTCACCCCTCGGGGTGCTTTGTGTGTGCGGGCTCTGTCCCACATCCGGGTCTTTCCCCTTGCGGTCCCACCCGCCTGGCCTTCGGTGCACTGCACCAGTGCGTGGCTGCTGCTTCTGCTTGCTCAGTCCAGCAGTCGCTCCGGCCCCTGCCCTGTTCCGGCCCCCAGGGCCACGCCCTCTCTCCGCTGGCTCTCATTTGCTTTTGGGTTGTTGTGGACTGTCTCCCTCCACCAGACTGCAAACTCCGCGGCAGAAAGTCCTGATGTGGGGGCAGCGCTGTGGCGCAGTGGGTTAATGCCCTGTCCTGAAGCGCCGGCATCCCATGTGGACAGCGGTTCGAGACCCGGCTGCTCCACTTCCGATCCAGCTCTCTGGTATACCCTGGGAAAGCAATGGAAGATGGCCCAATTCCTTGGGCCCCTGCACCCGTGTGGGAGACCCAGAAGAAGCCCCTGGCTCCTGGCTTCTGATCAGCACAGCTCCAGCCATTGCGGCCAATTGGGGAGTGAACCAGTGGATGGAAGACCTCTGTCTCTCTCTCTGCTTCTCTTCTCTCTCTTTCAAATAAATAAATAAATAAATAAATAAATAAATCTATCTTAAAAAAAAAGAAAGTCCTGATGCGTTGGGCTCACTTTGGAAGGCGCTGCCCTGTGCCTGCAGGAGTGCCTTAGGGATCCTGGGTGAATGAATGTGTAACCTATAGGAGCTGTGGTTACTTGTTGTGCTATTATTTTTAAAAGATTTATTTATCTGAAAGGTTGAGCGTCAGAGAGAGAAAGATCTTCCATCTACTGGTTCACGCCCCCAAATGACCACAACAGCTAGTGCTGGGCCAGGCTGAAGCCAGGAACCAGGAACTCCACCCTGGTCTAGGTCTCCCACGTGGGTGGCAGGGGCCCGTGCACCTGGGCATCCCCCACTGCCTTGGTAGGCACATTAGCAGGAAGCTGAGCAGCTGGGCCTCCAACTGGCACTCTGGCATGGGATGGTGATGTTGCTGGCTGTGGCCCAACCAGACGAGCTGCGGTGCCGGCCCCTATTATTGTTAGTATTGAGTGTTCAGTAAATACTGTTTGCCTGGAAGTCAAATTACTCCTGCCCTGAAATGTGCAAGTTACGTTCAGTGCAGGTGGAAAGTGAATGAAAGGGGTGCAGTCGCGTGGGCTAAGGGAGCTGACCTGGATGGTTGCAGGCGTGGCTGTGGGTCAAGCTGCCGTGTGGGACACCACCTCTCACATCAGCGTGCCTGGTTCGAGTCTCAGCCACCGCATGCCTCTGGGTGGGTTTCTGCTCGTTTGCCTGGGAGACAGCGGACCACAAGGGCCTGTGCTCCTGCACCCACATGGGAGACCAGGGTGGAGTTCCTGGCTCCTGGCTTCCGCCTGGCCCAGCCCCAGCTGTGGTGGGCATCTGGGGAGCTAACCAGAGGATGGAAGGTCTCTCTCTGTGTCTCCCTCTCTCATCACTCTGCCTTTGGAGCTGGCTTTGAGGTTGATGAGGCTGCGCTCAGTTGATACAAAGCCCTTCTGTTGTCTTGTGCCAAACCCTGATCCCGCCGCACAGTGAGACTATGAGGAAGGAGGGGCAAGGCCGCAGGCCCAGCGTTTAGTCCCCACTGAACTCAGCAAATGCATGCATACTACTACGAATTTAACTAGAAAACATTTCATCCCTTCGACAGTACGTGCACAGTGTAAAAAATGCAGATGTCACTGAGGAATATCCAGGGGACGCTCCCCTACCCCTTCTTCCCGAAGCGGGCCGGCTGTCAGCTTGGCTGGACGTTTCTTACCCCTGCAAGCCCGTCTCTGCGTGTGTCTTCTCTCGCTTTCATGCAAAGACTGGCATCCTGCACGTACCTCTTAGCCCTGCTCTTCCGTCGACCTCGTCTTTTGAACGGGGCCATCTCGTGTTTAGCTCCACCCGCTTCCTTGAAGGCTCCTGGGAGTTCTATTTCCATGCATCTCTGTTCGTTTAGCCGATTGCCCCGTGATGAGTGCTTGGATTTGTGTGCGGTCTCTGTGTGCAGCGAGCTTCCTGGTACTTTGTGCAGGTGTATGCATTGGTAACTTAGTAACGAATAGGAGTAGCTTGTGCACGGACCTTCTTCCAAAACAGAGCAGAAAAAGTTCGAGTAAATAGCATGGCGGGATGTGGCCCTCTTAACTCGTTTCTCTTATTTCATCGAAAACATTCAGTTATGAGCTCCCTCCATTCTCGGTATAGGAAAATTGGGAGGTAAGAATATCTAGAAAAATAAGTGCATGTGTCTTTAGATACGACTTATTTGAAAGGCAGAGTGAGCGTGGGGAGAGACAGAGGGAGAAGTCTTCCATCCGCTGGTTCACTCCTCAGTGGCTGCAGCAGCCAGGGTTGGGCCAGTCTGAAGCCAGGAGCCAGGAGCTTCCTCTGGTGTCCCACGTGGATGGCAGGAAACAAGCACTTGGCCATCACCTGCTGCCTCCCAGGGGCATTAGCAGGGAGCTGGATGGGAAGCAGAGCCCCTTCAGTGGCGGTTTAACCCATTGCACCCATTATCTTGTTCCTCAAGATAAATTTTAACCCTGCCATCCCGAGAGAGAATTTCTTTGAATGCTTTCACTAATAAGCATCTCTGGAGTTGGAGTCGTAGCACTCTGTCATTAGCTTACCGAAACCCATGAACGTGACTCAGCAGCCTGATGATGACAGGAGGGAGTGAGGATTCCTGCCCCCTCCCCCCCCCCCCCCCCGGGTCTGGCATCACCATCAGGACAGCTTTTGCAGACAGTGCTGCCTGTGCTGTGTGTTCTGTGCGCCCCTTGCTTCCTCCATCCCTTCCCCACGTCCTGCGTTCCCCGCGTCATCCAGCCCTCCACACCGCCGTCTCCAGTGAGTGTCTTCCGCTCTGAACCCGTGAGCAGGGGTGGGGAGAGGAGGAATCGCACTCCTGGAGGCCAGCAGGACTGTGTTCCTCGAAGTGACTCCTGGAGGTGTTGAGAACAGGAATCAGGGTGCTGTTTCTTAAGAAGGGGCGCTGTGTCTGCGTCTGTGAGCAGGCGGCGAGCGTGCGAGGCAGCGTGCTAGTCTCCTGATGCTGGGGCACTGTGCTTGCCCAGCAGTGCCTGGCCCCTAGGAGGAACGGGAGAAGGAGTGTCCACTGCAGACAAGTAGTTATGTGAGTCGTGGTTGCCGCATCTGATTGGTTTCCTTTTGGCTGGCGACATCCTGGGCTGGCAGGGCTGGGCTTGTGTCCTGTCTGAGCCTCTGTGCTGGGGCAGTATGGGAGCTTGTAATTGTCAATGAACTTCCTGGTGCTGCCCCTTTCAAAGGTTCTCACAGTGGCCCAGGTCCCCAGCTGTTCCCTTGCCTTGTGTGAGAGTAACCTGGGTGCCGGGTGCCTGGGGCTGGGGAGCTGGTGCCAAGGAGATGCCCACCTGGGAGAGCGCTTGGGGTCAGCCTGTCGCCAGCCAGCGCACAGCCCTCCTCCAGGTTGTCTTGGGCTCAGAGATGTTGCCTTGCGCCTGCTCCTCCAGTGTGTTACTCAAAAGAGGAGTGGGGGGAGGGGGTGGAGAAGACATATTTTGCCCCCTCTCCTTTATAGAATGAGGAGGTGTTTCTGTGGCTTCCACAGCAGGGGTGGTGGCTGGCCTTTGGCCAAACCCAGCCAGGTCTCACGTGTCGGCTTTGTTTCACCGTTCTGGGCTTCCCCCTCATCTGTAAGATGTGGAATTGTGCTTGTGGTGGCATATTTACTTTCTTAACATACATCTTTTAATGCTTGCATCATCCTGCTCTTTGGAATAAATCCTGTGGGCTTCGCAGCAAGACTTCTTTATCAGGACCATAGTTTCTTAGAAGCCTCTGCTGTTTTCCCCAGGCCACTGAAGTGTGGCGCCCCAAACCTGATTGTGGTCCTGACCCAGCCGGGGCGTGTGGAAAAAATGCTCTGAGAAGAATGGGCAGATGAGAGCGTGTCCTGGATGGTGTGGGCGTGGCCTTGATGGTGTGATCATATCCTTGACAATGAGGGTGTATCCTGGATTATGTGGGTGTGGCCTGGATGGTTTGATCTTGGCCTTGACAATCAGGTGTGTCCTGTATGGTGTGGGCGCGGCCTTGATTATGTGGGCGTGACATCGATGATATGGGCGTGTCCTGGATGATGTGGGCAAGGCCTTGATGATGTGGGCGTGACATCAATGATATAGGCATGTCCTATATGATGTGGGCATGACATTGATGATGCAGGCGTGGCCTGGACGGTATGGGCGTGGCCTTGATGGTGTGATCATATCCTTGACAATGAGGGTGTGTCCTGTATGGTATGGGCGTGGCCTTGATGATGTGGGCGTGTCCTCGATGATGGTGTGATCATATCCTTGATAGGGAGTGTCCTGGATGGTGTGGGCATGTCCTAGACAGTGTGGGCATGTCCTGGACAGTGTGGGCGTGGCCTGGACAGTGTGGGCGTGGCCTTGATGGTGTGTCTTTCCCACAGGTGCTGTGAGTGGCTGAGATGCTGCGGCAGAGGGGACCCCAGGCCCCGCACGGTCTGGTTGGGGCACCCCGAGAAGAGGGACCAGAGGTATCCTCGAAATGTTATCAACAACCAGAAGTACAATTTCTTCACCTTTCTTCCTGGGGTAGGTGCCAGCGTAAGCCACACCTTGTTCTCTTTTCCACCATGAATTTATGTGGTGCTGCCAGTCTTAGAAGACGGAGGTCCCTGGCAGATTTTGTGAACAGCTTGTGTCTCCTGTGCCACTCCAGCCACTGAACGCCCATCCTCCCTGGCCGGAGCACCTGCAGGGGCTGCCTGCTGTCCGTAAGGCCATGGCATGTCCCCTGTCCACACAGAATAAGTTCATGTGTGCTTGGTCTGTTGGGCTTTAGAACCAAAACATGGAAGAAGAACATACCCCCAAAGCCACATATGCAATACAGGGAAGGTGGGAGATGGATGTACATGTTTTATTTATTTGAAAGAGTTACAGAGAGAAGTAGAGACAGAGAGAGAGACAGAGAGAGAGAGAGAGAGAGAGAGAGAGGTCTTTCATTCCACTGGTTCACTCCCCAAATGACTGCAACGGCCAGAGCTGAGCTGATCTGAAGCCCGGAGCCAGGAGCTTCTTTCAGGTCTCCCATGCAGGTACAGGTGTCCAAGAAGTTGGGCCATCTTCTGCTTTCCCAGGTGCGTTAGCAGGGAGCTGGATTGAAAGTGGAGCACCACTGGGCCAGCGCTGTGGCTCACTAGGCTAATCCTCTGCCTAGCGGCGCCGGCACACCGGGTTCTAGTCCCGGTCGGGGCGCCGGATTCTGTCCCGGTTGCCCCTCTTCCAGGCCAGCTCTCTGCTGTGGCCCGGGAGTGCAGTGGAGGATGGCCCAAGTGCTTGGGCCCTGCACCCCATGGGAGACCAGGAAAAGCACCTGGCTCCTGGCTCCTGCCATCGGATCAGCGCGGTGCGCGGGCCGCAGTGCGCCAGCCGTGGCGGCCATTGGAGGGTGAACCAACCGCAAAAGGAAGACCTTTCTCTCTGTCTGTCTCTCTCACTGTCCACTCTGCCTGTCAAAAAAAAAAAAAAAAAAAAAGAAAGTGGAGCACCACTGTATAGGATGCTGGTGCTGCAGGTGGCAGCTTTACCCACTGCGCCACAGCACTAGCCCCCCAAAATTTTTAATCCTACCATCTAGACAGAATTTCTCTCTCTCTCTTTCTCTTTGAGATTTATTTATTTGAAAGGCAGAGTTACAGAGAGGGAGAGAGAGAAAGAGAGATCTTCCATCCGCTAGTTGACTCTTGGGTGGCAGCAAGGCCCAGGGCTGGGCTGATCAGAAGCTGGGAGCTTCTTCCGGTCTCCCATTGCCTTATGCAGAGTCGTGGGCACGTGGGCACGTGCTCTGCTGCCCCTCCCTCTGAAGTGTGCGTTAACTGTCTGGTTCAGCGGGCGCGGCCCCCACACACATCGGCAGCAGCCGGGTCCCTTGGGAACAGTAGAACAGAGGCACACGCGCCCTGCGGCTCAGGTCGATTGGAATTCTTTTTAGGGATGACTGTGTAGTTTTTAAATATTTATTTATTTTATTTATTTAGAAGGCAGACACACACACACACACCCAGATGAGACAGAGGCAGAGAGACGTGGACTGAGATCTTCCATCCTCTGGTTTGCTCCTCAAATGCCCACGACAGCTGGGAGCTGAGCACGGGTCTCCTACCGTGGGGTGTGGCCCCAAGGGTGTGTGTTGGCTGGAAGCTGGGATGGGTTATGGGCCTCCCAAGCCGCAGCACCAAACACCCGCCCCTGTCGCGGCGTCTGGGACTTTGTGGGTAGCTCCTGTGCCCGCAGCGCCTCGCTCCCCCACCTCGGTGTCTTAGGTCAGGGGAAGGGCGAGTGTGCTGCAGACCAGGCCACCCCTGCGCCGTGGCTGCGCCCTCGGGGGTGCGTGGCCACCTGAGTCGCCCGTGGGACTGCAGGCACTGCTGTGGCCTCGCACACCTGAGGTCTCTGCCCATCTGGCCTTGGGCAGAACCGCCCAGGGGGGTCAGCCTCCCTCCCGGGCGCGTTCGACTCCATCCGCTTGTAGTGGTGAGCGCCAGCCATGGAACGCGTCTCTCCTCGGACTGAAGCTTCAGGGCGAGAGCATTTCCCGCTAAAGCTGCTTCCTGAGCGGCGTTCTGAGGGCCCTGCCTGGACCAGGCGTGTGGCCAAAGAACCAGCAGAGGACGCAGGTGGCGCCCCCTGTGGGCCCCCCAGGTGGTAACCACTGCCCCAATCATGGTGTTCATTATTCAGTTTTTTACTTTTTTCTTTTTAAATAGTTTTTAAAAGATTTATTTATTTATTTGAAAGTCAGAGTTACACAGAGAAGGAGAGGCAGAGAGAGAGAGAGAGGTCTTCCACCTGCTGGTTCACTCCCCATTGGCTGCAACAGCCAGAGCTGTGCTGATCCTAAGCAAGGAGCTTCTTCCGGGTCTCCCACATGGGTGCAGGGGCCCAAGGACTTGGGTCATCTCCTGCTGCTTTCCCAGGTCATAACAGAGAGCTGGATCAGAAGTAGAGCCACCGGGTCTCGAACCAGTGCCCATATGGGAAGCTGGGACTGCAGGCAGTGGCTTTACCCGCTGCGCCACAGTGCCGGCCCCCAGTTTTTTACTTTTACCAGTGACACTTTGGGTATCCTTATGTGTTTTCCTAAATGACACACGGGAGTGTTGAAGCCTCCCGTGAGAGGGGCGGTGTGAGCCCCGTGATCCTGTGCGGGAAGGTTGTTCACTGTCACCCCCTCCCACACAGCCTGCCAGCCGCCTCAGGCCAGCCCTGACCACCTACCACCTCCCCCCTCAGACTCCCTCCCTGCCTCCCTGCACAGACCAGCTCTGACTGTCTCCTCCCTTAGACCACTTGCCTGCCTCCCCTGTCAGGCCAGCCCTGACTGACTCCTTCCTCAGACCAGCCCTGTCCGTCTCCCCCCTCAAACCAGTGCTAACTGCCTCTTTCCTCAGACCAGCCAGCCCTGACCGTCTGCCGTGTTGTCTGCCTGCAGGTGCTGTTCAACCAGTTCAAGTACTTCTTCAACCTCTACTTCTTACTTCTCGCCTGTTCCCAGTTTGTTCCTGAGATGCGGCTCGGCGCGCTCTACACCTACTGGGTTCCCCTGGTGAGTGGGGTGGCGCCGTGTGCTCGTGTGCTCCTCTCTCAGCGGTTTGGGATCAGACGATGCCTCGCCCCTCCCTGGGGGGGGGGGGAGCGTCTGCGCTGGGCGGGGACTCTCGCTGGGAGGGGAGGTGACCCTGCCAGCACGGTGGAGCCCCTGAGATGTCACCGTGGAGGCTGCTCGTCCTGCATGGCCAGGCTCCAGCTGCAGCATAGCCTGTGCCGTCACTCATTCATTCACCCGGTCGGCCAGCCAGTGGGGCCGTCATTCATTCATTCACCCGGTCGGCCAGCCAGTGGGGCCGTCATTCATTCATTCACCCAGTTGGCTAGCCGGCGGGGCCGTCACTCCTCATTCATTCACCCCGTCAGCCAGCTGGCCGGGCCGTCATTCATTATTTTGAGAGATGTATATGGCGTGGGTCTGGATGCTGGGGACACGGAGGCATGTGAGAAAGACACGTTTTCCGTGCTCCCTCACAGGCCGTGTTATCTGAATGTTTCTGGAGACCAGATTTGCAGCTGACATAGAGTGTTTGAGTGCAGAGGCCTGGAAGAGTGGCAGCGTCTGCCTTAGTGTACAGGGAGTGAAGCAGAGCTGACGAGCCCCTCCGTTCGTTCCTTCCTTCCTTCCTTCCTTCCTTCCTTCCTTCCTTCCTTCCTTCCTTCCTTCCTTCCATCCTTTTGGCAAATGGTTACTGAACACCTGCTGTATGCTAGGGCCGTGCTGGGTGCTGGGGGCAGTACTGAGGGGACTGGATAAAGTCCCTGCCTGTGGGGGGATAGACGATAAACAGAAATAGGGCTGCTGCACGTTGTGTGAGGGCACAGGTGCACCTAGTACCTTGTGATGGGTAGGGGTGGAGGGCAGCCATGCAAGGCCCCCTGAGGAAGTGATGCGAATGGGCAGGCAGGGCAGGGCCCTGTGGCGGGGAGGTACGTGGAGGCTTCCACCGTCACATGCCCAACCCAGGCCCATTGCTGCCTGTGCTCGTTTTTTTTTTTGTTTTTTTGTTTTTTTTTTTTTTTTTTTTTTGAAGATTTATTTTATTTATTTGAAAGAGTTACAGAGAGGCAGAGGCAGGGAGAGAGAGAGAGAGAGAGAGAGGTCTTCCATTTGCTAGTTCACTCCCCAAATGGCTGCAACAGCTGGAGCTGAGCTGATCTGAAGCGAGGAGCCACGAGTTTCTTCCAGGTCTCCCACACAGGTGCAGGGGCCCAAGCACTTGGGCCATCCTCCACTGCTTTCCCAGGCCATAGCAGAGAGCTGGATTGGAAGTGGGGCAGCCAGGACTTGAACCAGTACCCATATGGGATGCTGGCATCACAGGTGGAGGCTTAACCCACTGCGCCACAGCGCTGGCCCCTATTTTAGCTTTTAAGTTCCTCATCCGTTTACTATATACTTCTATAAAATGAAATCACAGGTTACTTTTTTTTTTTAAAAGTCTGCTGTATAGACAAAATATTTATTACACTTTTTATTAAAGATTTTTATAAGTGTCTAGTTATTTGAAAGTTGATTCGAGTACATTCATGAGAATCTGCCCTAAAATACCATTCTTCAAGCCGGCGCCGCGGCTCAATAGACTAATCCCCCCCTAGCGGTGCCGGCACACCGGGTTCTAGTCAGATGAAGAACATTTAAAGAACAATAAAGCAGGAGAAATTAATTCATAAGGAATTCCTATTTTTCCCACAGTCTAAAACAATTTTAAAGCAAGGCGTTTTATTTATTTTTAAAAAATTAAGGACTTTTGGGCCGGCACCACGGCTCACTAGGCTAATCCTCCACCTGTGGCGCCAGCACACCAGGTTCTAGTCCCGGTCGGGGCGCCGGATTCTGTCCCGGTTGCCCCTCTTCCAGGCCAGCTCTCTGCTGTGGCCCGGGAGTGCAGTGGAGGATGGCCCAAGTGCTTGGGCCCTGCACCCCATGGGAGACCAGGAGAAGCACCTGGCTCCTGCCATCGGATCAGTGCGGTGCGCTGGCCGCAGTGCGCCAGCCATGGCGGCCATTGGAGGGTGAACCAACGGCAAAGGAAGACGTTTTTCTCTGTCTCTCTGTCTCACTGTCCACTCTGCCTGTCAAAAAAAAAAATACCATCCTTCATTTCGTGTCCATCCTCTGGAGTTGCTTTATGAACAAACAAGAACAATTGCTCAAAGTCTGGCATCCTTTCTCTCTTTAGAAAAAGAAACAAGATTCACGGCCTTCTGAGTCAGTTTTTTTTCTTTTTTTGTTTTAATTTGGGAGGCACAGAGCGCGCGAGCTCCCATTTGGTGGTTCACTCCCCGAGTGGCCACAGCAGCTGGGCCTGGGCGGGGCTGAAAGTGGACACTGGAAGCTCCAGCTGAGTCTCCCACGCCAGGGCAGGGAGCCCAGCACTTGAACCATCCCAGCTGCCTCCCCGGGTGCATGTTAGCCAGACGCTGGAGTCGGGGTCGTCCTGTAACACGGGATGCAGGTGTCTTGGCCTTGAGGCTAAATGCCTTCTCTGAGTCTGTTTATTTTTAATTTCCAACAGATCTTTCTCCTGATTTGTAACGGGAACGTGGGAGCACTGCAGGAGTCGGGGCAGCACCTCTCCTGCTGCGTGGGCTCCCGCTGGCGAGGGGATCCCCTAGGGCTCCCTGTGCCTCGGAGGTTGGGACCTCCCACCTGGCTTGGCTTGGAGCACCACGGGTCCCCTCTGCTGACACACAGACCCCACGCTCTGCGCACGGGCTCAGGAGCGGCTTCCGTTCCCTTCTCTTCTGGTTCGGTTACAGAGGGGCCTCACGACATCGGGGAAGGATGAATTTATTTATTTGGAAGTCAGAGGTGCAGAGAGAGCGGGGAGAGAATCTTCCGGCTGCCGGTTCCCTCCCAGATGGCTGTAGCCCCTCATTCTCCTTGTCCCCGCTGAGCCCTTTGGCACGGCCTCTGGGAGAACCCAGCAGAGCGCGCCCAGTGTTCCGACACGGTGACTTCTCGGTCACTTCAAGCCCCACAGGACCCCTCTGTGAGCCACACCCTTGGGAACCTGGGTGACGGAAACATTTTTGCCAAGGTGGCTCACCCCAGATGCCAGTAATAACGCAGGTGGAGCTGTAGGGACACTGATAGGAGAGCTCCCTGCTTCCGAGGAGAGGGGGTCGGAATAGCGAAGGGCTTGGGATGTGTGTGGCACGGGAGGTACCTAGGCGTCCATCTGCTGGGGACAAATCAGGAGCTACCTGCAGGGTGGTGCAGCCGGGCTGTGGGATGCGCGGGGCGTTAGAGACAATCCAGAGGACGTGTCCGCGTGCACCTTCGATGTGGACCCTGCTGCTGCCTCATGAGAACCGTGAACGGCAGAGCAACGTGGACGTGTGCTTCAGCCCTGGGCCTTCGGCCTCCCCCGTGCTCTGCTCGCTTAGGCGTGGGAGTGCACAGCACAGCAGTGTGCGAGGGTTTTCCCCAAAGCCAGTGGTTACCGTTGGAGCTGAGGGTTGCTTATTCCTTGTACAAGTGTTTTTGATTCTTCTGTATGAGATTCTTTTTTTTTTTTTTTTTTTTGAGACTTATTTTATTGGCTTGAAAGAGTGACAGAGACCTTCTATCTCGTTCACTCCCAAATGGCCTCCAAGGCCAGGACTGGTCCAGGCTGAAGCCAGGAGCCCAGAATTCCGAGTCTGCCATGGGGGTGGCAGGGTTCCATGCACTTGGACCATCCTCTGCTGCTTTTCCAGGCACATCAGCAGGGAGCTGGGTGGGAAGTGGAGCAGCTGCGACTCAAACCAGCACTCTTTTAGGATGTCGGCATCCCAGGCAGTGGCTTAACCCACTGTGCCACTACGCTGGCCCCGTGGTCCCTTTGGTCATCAGCTTTTCCTGTGATAGGTCAGTTGGGGGACATTTCTCATGTTTTCGCTTTTCCTAGGGACCACAGAGAAGGGGGATTGAGGTCAGAGACAAAGCAGAGAGCATCTCTCTCGGTCACTGCAGCCGGTTTCCCCAGTAGGTTTGCATGCAGAGGACCAGTTCCAGTTCTTGGCTAGAATGTGGCATGAGACGTCTCCTGGCCTTACTTCAAATCCAGCGACAGCCCCAGTGGCTCTGAGTGGCGGCCCTGGGGCTCGGCAGTTTGGTGCAGCCCTTGGCTGTACTTTGGGAAAGACTTTTAATTTGAACACGCCTCAGTGTCCTCGTCTGTAAAACAGAGGTGATGCTGTCTGCTTCCTGGGCTTGCTGGAAGGGCGAATGAATTACTGCAAACTCTCAGAAGATGGTCTCATTTTAACTTGAAAATTCTGCCGCTTGCATCGTGGTCATGGTTGTTCAGGTTAAGTTTTAGCTTTTAGTTACTTTTTTCTTGGTATTAGTAACCTAGGAGGGGGAGAGAGTCCTCAGGAGACAGTTGAGGTTGTCCATAATGTTGTTTGTTTGATCTGATTTTTCTTGTTGCTGGGATAGACGCTGCGTGCCAACAAATGTCTAGATTTTTCTGCCAGCAGCTGCACCGGTCTTCAGGTTTCAGCTTGGTGGCTTTGACCTTTACCGTGCTCACACAGACACTGTCTCAGTCAACTCAGAATTTTCCATCACCCCAGAAAGTCCCCTCCCGCCCCTGCCAGCCACGGCTGCCCCCAGACGTAGCTCCCATCGGCTGGTTTGCTGCAGCAGATCTCTTTCTGATGTCAGCTTTACGGAAGAGGCTGAGCCCCTTCAGGGTTGCTTGTCTGGATGTCACCCGCCTGTGATTCCTCTGCAGGCTCAGACCACCCCACTAAAGCCTTTCTCTAAATATCTGTGCGTTACGGACCTCCTAGGTGGATGGTTGGAATTTATTTCTGGACAATGTTTGCATCTCTAGCCTTAGGGATGGCAAGTCTGCTAGGATTGACCAGGACTCTGCATGTGTGTGTGTGTGTGTGTGTGTTGAAGGTGTGTATATGTGTTTGTTGAGGCTGTGTGTGTTGAGGTTGTGTGTGTGTGTTGAGATTGTGTGTGTGTGTGAGGCTGTGTGTGTGTGTTGAGGGTGTGAGGCTGTGGGGGTTTGGCTGTATGTGTGTGTATGTGTGAGGCTGTGTGTGTGTGTGAGGCTGTGTGTGTGTGTGTTGAGGGTGTGTGTGAGGCTGTGGGGGGGTTGGCTGTATGTGTGTGTACGTGTGAGGCTGTGTGTGTGTGTTGGATGTGTGTATGTTGGCTGTGTGTGTGTTGAGGGTGTGTGTGAGGCTGTGGGGGTTTGGCTGTGTGTGTGGGGGGGTTGGGTGTGTGTGAGGGTGTGTGTATGTTGGCTGTGTGTGTGTGTGTGAGGCTGTGTATGCGCGGGTTGGGGGTGTGTGTGTGTTGGGTATGTGTGTATGTGTTGGCTGTGTGTGTGTGAGGCTCTGTGTGAGTGTTGGGTGTGTGTGTTTGTGTGTTGGTGTGTGTTGGCTGTGTGTGAGGCTCTGTGTGGGTTGGGTGTATGTGTGTATGTTGGCTGTGTGTGTGTGTGTGTGTGAGGCTGTGTGTGTGAGGCTGTGTATGTGTGTATGTTGGCTGTGTGTGTGTGAGGCTCTGTGTGGGTTGGGTGTATGTGTGTATGTTGGCTGTGTGTGTCTGTGTGTGTGTAAGGCTGTATGTGTGAGGCTGTGTATGTGCGGGTTGGGTGTGTGTGTGTGAGGCTGTGTGTGTGTTGGGTATGTATGTTGGCTCTGTGTGTCTGTGTGTAGGTTGTGGGTATGCATGTGCTTCACACCCGGTTGGCAGGCAGGCGGGTGGGGGCTGCATTCACGCGGGGCTGCGGGGTTGTCTGCCTGCAGCTCAGCACATCTCGCCCGAGGAGGCACAGGGCTCCCCCGCAGCTGTGCCACCTGTGTTGTTTGTAAGGAAATAACTTGGGGCAGCTGGAGACGGGCGGAGGCTGACAGGGGAAGGCTTTTGCCATTTTTGATACGAAAGGAAAAAATCCAGATGGGAGAGAGGTTCCTGCTGTGTGGCCCCGCCCCCTTCTCCCCACCAGATTTCATCAACTGGAACAGCCATGTCGTGTGTTGGGGGGGCGGCTTTGGAAGGGGGCTCCTGTGCAACCAGCTCTTCAGACGGTTTCCGTAGAGAAACTTGGGTCCTGACAGCGAGGCTGAGTGCTGTCTGCTTCCCTGCAGAGGCGGCTGGCCGGCCGTTAAGGATGACAGACGGCTTTGCTCTCGCGGAGTCAGGGCGGCGCTGGGTGGCCTGTGCCTCGCTCTGTCCCCTCCCTCACTCCCAGCCTCCTGGATTTCTCTGGATGCAGGACGGTGTGGCTGTGAGAGCCCTCGGGGAAGGTCCTGCACCATCCCTGTGCCCCGTCTCCTCCTCCTGGGGTCTCAGTACTGGGTCTCCTGGTGCTCAGTGCGTGGTGAGGGCAGAGCTGTTAGCGTCACTGCTTGCTTGCCTGCGGGGGCAGCTGGGCGCCTCACACCCCTCACAGCCGTGGACGTGGCGTCCTAGTCCCGCGTGTGGTGGTGTTTGGGGCGCGAGTGACGGCGTGCTCCCTAAGGGGGATTCAGAGAAGGGGGCCTGCCACGGCGTGTGCGTTTGGGACCTGCCGGCTGCCCTCCCGTGTGGCCTCTTCTGCCCCAGGCACCAGGGAGGGACAGTTGGGTTCAGCAGGCTCACCCTTGTCCTCGCTCTCCGCAGGGCTTCGTGCTGGCTGTCACCGTCATCCGGGAAGCGGTGGAGGAGATCCGATGCTACGTGCGGGACAAGGAAGTCAACTCCCAGGTCTACAGCCGGCTCACAGCGAGAGGTCAGCCTCCTGGCTCCGGGGCGGCCCCCGGGTTGCAACTCAGTCACAGCCGCTGACGGTTCTGGGAGCAGAGTTCAAGGCCCTGGGCGTGGCGGGCAGTTGGACACCAGGGAGGCCTCCTGCCTGAGGCCTGGTGGGACTTTCATCCAGCCTGGAGTTGGATCCGGGGGTTGTTGGCGGGGGCGTTACCGCCCCCCCCCCCCCTCCCGAGCAGCCCCTCTCCCTGGCCTGCCTGTAGGGTGCAAGCCTCAAAGATACTGTTGCAATGGTGACTTCTTTAAAGTCACGGTTGCAACTTCGGTTTTGAAAAGGCAGGAGACTGCCCGCCAGCCAGCCTGCGTCTGGGAAGACCCTTTCAAGGCATCCGAGGAGTTTTAGCTGTCGAGGTGTGCAGAGCATGTGGTCTGGCCTAAAGAGAAATGGCGAGGGACCCTTTAGTCACTGGCCCCTGTGTAAGGAACGTTGTGCATTTAAATGGTGCACCTTAAAGGACCCACCACAATATACCCTTGGAGAAACCACTTGGCTACCCAGCCGTGGCTGGCTTCCGTTGCCAGCTGCATTGGATTTGTTTAACACTTTTTACACTTGCCCGCAGAAATGCGAGAATGTGACCTACAGTTGCTGAGCTGGCTGGGGAGAGGGATTGATTGTCCCCCGAGATTGCTCACCCCACGTGCAGCTGAGGGAGTAGCGGCTATGCCTTGCCTTTAGGAACTTGAGAGTCCTGAAGGGCTCGGTCAGCAGACGCCTTAGGGATGGACGTGGAGCAGGCTCTGAGCCGCTTTGTGTTGAGAGCTGCAGCTCCCAAAGCAGCAAGCAGTCCCTCCACGGCTGCAGGCTGTTTGAGTAGAGTTTCCCTCTAGGAAAAATTTGGAGTTTATTTTGGACTTGAAACAACAACAACAAAAAGTTTTTAGTTACATCTCCCAAGGGCAGGAGGACATTTTGTTTTACTGTGTGTGGCTGCATTGTCACAGGTGGTAATCTGGTGCTAGTCTTTGGGGGCAGGTGCACAGAGTCAGCACAGAAGGGCTTGTGAAGGCAGACGTCAGACCTGCGACTGAGGCAGGGTGCCCCGGATGAAATATCAAAGGCAGACGGCTGGGCTGTGGATGATTCTGCCCTCCCCTTCCCGGCCCTGGCCTTAGCTCCACTCAGCTCTTCAAAAGCGCCGCGAAATGGCGGATGGCTCCGGCGTTAGGCACCTGCCTGCCTTTGCTAGTGTCCTGTGTGGCCGGGGTCTCCACTCTGGCGCTGTAGCAGCCCAGGGAAGCGCCAGTGCCGGGCTGGCTTATGCGATGCTCTCGGGGGAGCCCGGGCACTGAGTCCAGCTGGGAGGCTGCGGGACAGGGACCACAGGGCTTTCAGGACCTCACTACTGAATCAGTAATATTTCCTGGGCAAAGCTTTTCCCCAGTCTCGGTATTTAGGGAGTTGAAAATGAAATGACCAGATTTGTGTCTAACGTGGCAGGTTTTATTTTATTTTTTTTATCTTTACTACATGAATTATTTTTTTGTTTTAACAGCACTTTTTTTTTTTTTCACAGCCATAGTTGGACTTCTTCATGGTCCTCCAGCACATGAACACAGTGTGTAATGGTCAGATCATAGTAATTAGTTTATCACCTCAAACATTTATCATTTCTTGGTGTTTGCATAAAAACTTTTTTTGTTAAAATAATATTGATCTGTTCATTTACTTGAAAGAGAGAGATTGAGATCAGTCTGTCATCCACTGGTTCACTCCCCAAATGACTGAAATGGGCAGGGCTGGGCCAGGCCAAAGCCAGGAGCCAGGAGCTCCGTCCAGGTCTCCCCTGTGGGTGTCAGGGGCCCAAGCACTGGGACCACGCTCTGCTGCTTTCCCAGGTGCATTAGCAGGGAGCAAGATCGGAAGTAGAGCAGCTGGGACTTGAACCAGCACTCCAATATGGGGTGCTGGTGGCCCTGCAGGTGGTGGCTTAACCCTCTGCACCACAACACTGATCCTGCACATGAAAGTTTCTTTAAAAAATTGCTTATTGATTTGAGACAGACAGTAGTTCACTCTCTAAATACTTACAGCAGTCCAGACTGCTCCAGGCAGAGACCAGGAGCTGGAACTCTGTGTGGGTCTCCTGTGCAGGTGCCGGGAATCCAGTTACTTAGCCATTACCCCTGCCTCCCAGGGTCCACACTGGCAGGAAACCGGTGTCAGGAACTGGAGGCAGGAGTAGAACCCAGGCGCTCTGCTGGGGATGCGCTAGGCCCAACACCACCCCCACGTGCCGTCGTCACACTGCTTTTAGGGTTCAGATGCTCCTGATCACCAGATGTCTGGCTGTCGTGTTTGCCCATGTGCTGTGTCGTGTCCTGATTCATGGGAGCACTGCTTCACTTGTGTCAAAGGCACACAGGGAGGGAGACACTCAAAGGTAGACACAGATCTTCCACCTGCTGGTTCAGGCCCCAGATGTCTGCAACAGCTGGAGATGGTGCAGGTGGAAGCCAGGAGTTTAGAACTCACTCCAGCTCCCCCCGTGGGTGGCAGCGATTCCACTGCTTGGGGCACCGCCTGCCGCCTCCTGGGGCATGCGTTAGCAGGAAGCTGGACTTGGCAGCAGAGCCAGGACTGGAACCCAGACCCTCCCATGGGATGCCGGTTCCCAAGTGGTTTCTTTTTTCTTTTTTTAAACATTTTTTTTTTTTTAAATCTATTTGAAAGAGTTACAGAGAGAGACAGAGACAGAGAAGAGACTGTCTTCCATCTACTGGTTTACTCCCAAATGGCACTGCTGGCTGGGGCTTTAACCTGCTGTGCCATAGTGCCAGCCCCTCAAATGATATATATTAAATGATATATATTAAAGATTTAAATGATATACATTAAAGATTCATTTATTTATTTGAAAGGCAGAGATACAGAGAGGCAGAGGCAGAGAGACGGAGAGAGAGATCTTCCATTCGCTGGTTCACTCCCCAAATGGCCCCAACAGCCAGAGCTGAGCTGATCCAAAGCCAGGAGCCAGGAGCTTCTTTCAGGTCTCTCACGTGGGTGCAGGGGCCCAAGGACTTGGGCCACCTTCTACTGCTTTCCCAGGCCATAGCAGAGAGCTGGATCAGAAGTGGAGCAGCAAGGACTTGAACTGACTTCCATATCTGATGCCGGCACTGCAGGCTGGGGCTTTAAGCCTATGTGCCACAGCGCCGGCCCCTCAAGTGGTATCTTACGTGGTGCACCACACACTCATTCCCAGTGCAACTTTGCTTTTTTTTTTTTTTTTTTCTTTTTTTTGAAAATTTTATTTGAAATAATTGTCCAGAGGGAAAGAGAGAGAGATCTTGTATCCACTGGCTCACTCCCCAAATGGCTACAATGGCCAGACCTGGTGCAGACTGAAGCCAGGAGTCTGAAACTCTGTTTGGGTCTCCCTCATGGGTGGCAGGGCCCAAGGACTTGGACCACCTTCCAGTGCTTTCCCAGGCACATTAGCAGGAAGCTAGATCATAAGTGGAGCAGCCAGGACTTGAATTTGTGCTCCCATATGGGATGTTGATGTCACAGGTGGCAGCTTAGCCTACCATGCCGTACTGCTGGCCCACTGTAGTGTAGTTTCCTTAAAAATAATTTTGTTTTATAATAATTTGTAGCTAGCAAAAATGTTATGAAAGTCATTTGAGGGTTTTCTATAAGTTTTTCTCCCAGATTCACCAATTGCTAACATTTGACACATTTGCTTTTTAGACTCTTTGTCTGTCTGTCTGTCTCTATACAAGGCCATCGGAGAGTGACATTACCCCTACATGCTTCATTGTCTAACTCCTAGCAGGACATTTCTCCTGCATAGTGCAGCACAGGGATCAAAATCAGGAAACTCAGCATCCATACCATACTCTCATTTACAGTCCTTAATCAGATCTTGCATTTGTTCCAAAAATGTCCTGTGTGGATTTCTTCTCCTTCCCGTTCCAGGAACCCATCCAGTTTCGCCTGTTGCATTTTTCATTCTCTCTCCCTGGCTGCCCTGCTCGGCCCAGCTCTGCAGCTTTCTTTGATGGCAGTGATGTTTTTGCAAAGAACAAGCCAGCTTAGGCCAGGGACGGTCGCCTGCCTCTTGATTTGTGTTTGTCTGATGTTGCCTCAAAATTGGATTCACAGCATGCATTTGAACAAGAATTAACAGGTTTTTTTAAAAAAAGACTTATTTATTTATTTATTTGAAAGTCAAAATTACAGAGAGAGAGGGAGAGACAGTGAAAGACAGTGAGAGAGAGAGAGAGAGAAAAGATCTTCCACCCACTGGCTCACTCCCTAAATGGCCGAAATGTCCAGGACTTGGCCATGCTGGAGCCAGGAGCTTCCTCCTGGTCTCCCATGTGGGTGCAGGGGCCCAAGGACTTGGGTCATCTTCTACTGCTTTCCCAGGTCATAGCAGAGAGTTGGATTGGAAGTGGAGCAGCTGGGACTAGAACCACCGCCTATATGGGATGTTAGCATTGCAGATGGTGGCTTAATCCATTGTGCCACAGTGCCAGCCCCTGAATTAAAACATTTTAAAGAATGCCAATGAGACAGATTCTGGTTGGCTGAAGTTTGAAAAGTTGTAAGTTAATCAAATTGAGAAAATTTTAAATTTTAATAAAAAAAGTTTGATTTTTTTTTTTTTTTGACAGAGTGGACAGTGAGAGAGAGAGAGAGAGACAAAGGTCTTCCTTTTGCAATTGGTTCACCCCGCAATGGCTGCTGCGGCCAGTGGGCTGCGGCCGGCGCACCGCACTGATCCGAAGCCAGGAGCCAGGTGCTTCTCCTGGTCTCCCATGGAGTGCAGGGCCCAAGGATTTGGGCCATCCTCCACTGCACTCCCTGGCCACAGCAGAGAGCTGGCCTGGAAGAGGAGCTACCGGGACAGAATCTGGCACCCCGGGACTAGAACCCGGAGTGCTGGTGCCGCAGGCGGAGGATTAGCCTATTGAGCCGCGGCGCCAGCCAAAAAGTTTGATTTTTAACAGTTGACC